ACGCACCCAACTGCTGTTTGCGCCGGTTAGTACTTCCTGTCGTCGCAGCAACTACAATGGGCTGAGTGGAATCCAAAAAGGTAGCGCGATCACCTGCAGAATCGGGATCGGAAAACTCGCGCTTGCCAGACAAGTCGAACCGTTTCGCGCAGGGAAAATTGGAGGGCGAAAATACGGACTTAGGGGTCCGCAAACAGTGCACGGTGAGCTCCACTGAGGTGCTCGGAAAGCGCAAATGACAACTAAAAGACAAAAAGACGCAATACTTCAGATAATTAAAGAGAACTTTTGATGTGCTAAACACAACATACAATCTACAAGAATTTAAGTCGGACGCCAACGTACCTCATGACAGGGAAGGCCTGCATTATCAGGTCTGAACTCACAGCTGCGTCATTCAAAATATGGAGTATACATAGTCTATCATGCCGGGGAATTTCGAATGAATGGCAGTTAGCCAATGCACGCTTACTTGAATGAATATCTAGGGACATCTTGACGTACATAGATCCCAATTGTGATATCAGAAGCATGCAAATCAGTTAACTATCGGAAGGCTCACAAGCCAAAATAGCCGTATTACATGGATACTGCACCCCACTCCCCCATAAAAACAAGGCTTCATTTACATCGTCGCCTAACGGATCAGTGCCAGGCCTCTGAGGGTACCCACTAAATATGGTTGCTTACTATTGCTGCTTTGTGGTTAGGTTCTTGAGCCAAGGCACTAGAAGAGACAATATTAGCCAAACAATCTGCTGGCTATTTGGGATCCGCATGTAATCAGGATGTCCCGTGGGCAGCTTATTCAGTGATGTGAAATCGTCTTCTATCCGAAAGAAATATCCGATTCAATGCTGAGATTGCACAACAAAAAGACGCTCTGAGGGGTTTATAAGCCTTGTGTCAGCACTCTAGCGTCCTGACTGCATGAGCAAGTGGAAATAGCTTTGATAACTCCGCCTTTCTTATGCTTACTTCCAAGAGGATCGATAAGACAAATCACAAACACTTTCTCCTTGATTGAGTGGAAATCTTCATCACAGCACTTCCAAACGATCTTAGAGGGTGGCCCTAAGATGGGAAAGAATCAAGGCAGTGGTGTCATCAGTGAACAGAGGTTGAGTCACGTTGTTTATACACGACAACTAGCAAGACCAATGTGTTTTCTAACTGGGTACCTGAACAATTTTACCAATATTTACAACAGCTAGTGAATAGTAAATTGATCCACGGCGCACAGTTGCATAATTATGACGAGGACGCGTCCATGGTTAGCTCACTACTGAAAGCCGATTATCAAAGTTCCGTTAGGGATACAAACGAACCAACATAAGGTGGAACATTCACAAATATGCCGTACCCATGATATTATAATTTACGCACGTTCGAACAGAAATTTTCCAGCAACTTTTGGTAGCTAGCTTAAAAATAAATGAGGCACTAATGCTACACCGTAAAAAATAAACCAAATGAAAAAAATAAATGAATAAAGAAGAGCCTTTGTCAATCACTACAATTTTATTGGGACACTCACCGTTTAGGCAATCCGTATAGTACGGTGCCATTCGATTTAAATTTACCATCAATGAATATGCCGTTTTTGCCCAAGCATCTCAAATACAGCTTCCCTTTCCCCCATTGGACCTCCAGATGCCGTCGAGATATCACAGAAGAAGAAGCCACTTGAAGCTCAGAAGAATTTGCATCAGTTTGCCGACCAATATATATTTTCTTCTTGCGCATTAAAAACCTCTCAGAGCCTTGATACATAACAGCAAAGACATTGCGCATAGGCTGCTTCCGCGATCGCATTTTGCGATGATAAATTGAATGAACGCGATGCAATCAAAGAATGGTGAGCCCGTAGCATAAGGCATACACCAATTTAAAAAACGCGGCTTAAAGTCGAGGCTTAATGCGAATCCACACTTTAGTTAGTCAGTAACGATAGACTTCGGCCAGTTTATTGAGAAAAATAAAAATGAACATTTGAGCACCCTTCTGACAACGTAGAATGAAGTATGGTGTATAGTGAAACTGGTTCAAATTTTATCATAGAATATGACCGTTGGGGTGTCTCAGGGGTTTAGTTAATCCCTCCAAGTTTCGGTGCAGTTTGGAACATAAAACCACGAAAGTCCTCTCAAAACTTTCCA